CCCCAAAACCCCAAAACCCCAAAACCCCTGAAGATGAAAATGCTCAATAATTGATTAAATCATTATATATCGTAATCTATATCAGAATAGCAAGATAATTTCGCTTTAATACTTAACATTATAATAATGAAACAAGACTACATTAATTTAAAGCACGCTACATTGTGCTCAATTGCCTTCCTTGGGCTCTATGTGGCAGTTTACTCTACTTAGAATGTTTAATCACAAATTTATGATATAGATGGGTACAAGAATCTAGGATATATTTCCAACGCTGTTGCATATTTAGGCCAAGGTTTAGGAAGTATTTTCTGTGTATACGTGATGCAAAGGGTTGGTGATGTTAAAGCTATGGCTTATAGTTCTCTGCTATCACTCCCCTTTATTATATGCTTGATATTACCAGCTTTGAACACAGATAATAAGGCCGATAACAACTTCTTCTTTTCATAGAGTTTCGTCACAATTTTGACTATATATGTATCGTTCTTGAATGGGTTCGGTGGAGGAATCAATTAGCCAGCCTCTGGTAAATACATTTCCGACTGTGCAACAGAGAATACAAAAGGTTTCTTTTTTGCATTCTTTTGGTCCTTCTATATGGGATCGTAAGTAATAGGAAACATCATCTCTGCATTTGCTCTGGGTTACTTTGAGTAGTATTACTATGTGCTTATAATGGCAATCATTTGCTTTTGTTCTGGAATGCTATTGTTCTTTTTAAAGCAGCCAGAAGTCCATCATAATGTTTTGAGAAGTGTAGAAAATGTTACATTGAACGCAGCATCAAATCAATCGATAGACCCTCTTAACTAATTAATGATAGATGCTATCTAGGCTCATAATACTCTTGAGGAGTAGTCATTGAAAGATAATATAAAATCTCTGTGGGGATTGGTGACTCAGAAGAGATTTAGGTTATTCATTCCTCAGCTGTGCTGGAGTGGAGTTAGCATTGCATTCTATAGTGGCAACTTAGTAGAACTAATGGCACTGACAGTAGATGACGATGAACAGGTTAAATTTAAGAAGTCTATGCTAGCTATGATTGCATTTGGAGCTGGTGAAGTGCTTGGCTGCTTCTTTATTGGCTTCTTTGTGGATAAATTCGGCAGTAAAGTAGCTAGTGTAGTTAATATCATCTTGGTTATTTTGATGACTTTGTCAACATTAGGATATTGTATAGCTTGGTAATATGGATGGCAAGCATTTTTGATGTGCTTTCTCTGGGGATTTTAAGATTCAGCTACTAACACTCATTCCTAGGAGATTTTGGGGTTTGAGTTCGACAATAACTTTGAACCCTTCTCAGTATACAACATTCTCCAATGCATTTGTTGTGCAACATTGCAAATAGTTGAAATATCAGTTTAAACGAGAAGAGACTACATAATATTCACGGTATTTATTGGAGTAATTGGAGTATTTTGTTGTTCGACCATGCTTTTCTTCGATTTCAGAGAACATAAGCACGGCAACACCGACTAACACGAATAGTAATAGCTGCATCCAAATGCACAAGCTCAATTAACATTAAATGACTCTCATCAAATAGAAGAGGATAATTAATATCTTTTGGAAAATGATTAAAGCAATCAAATTTATAATGGAGAATAAAGAAAGCATAGTCAAGACATAACAGAAGTTTCTCTGGAAGATTGAATGATATGAAAGTTAATCAAATATATATTAATTACATTACACACTATTACTTATTCATTTTGCCTTTTGGGGTTTTGGGGTTTTGGGGTTTTGGGG